CCTCTATCGATCTTCTAAATGACCGGCAGCATCATAAAAAATGCCACGCAATTTTTAGAAATCCATATATACGATAACACAAAATGGTCATTTGGAGGTTCATAGATGGCGTTCATTTCTTTGACGGATCTACTTCAGAGGTACGAGGTGTGACAACAGCCCCCCCCCCCGCAGCTACAATGGCACCTTTAGTTGACCAGTTCAAGGCTCGTGGCAGGTCTTACCGACAGCCATTTCACACAAATACAGGCACAAACCGTCTTTAAACCACAGAATCATGATTTCAAAAACCCTTGCTCCAATACTCACTTTCGGCATTCATTATTCGTTCAAACGCTTTCACCGTCATGTCGTACAGCTCGCTAGCGGTCTTCATTTTCGTGATGTGAGCGAGGCCAAACTGGTGCAGCCTCTTGGACGTCTTGCCGGTCTAAAACCATCCATGAAAAGCAACCTATCGTCACCGCCTTGTTACGTTTTACCTGCGTCACTGGGGGTACCATAGAGGTCGGCTGACGAGTATCTGGTAGTGGAAACGAAGGAACGGTTGGAGGAACAAGGTTAGTTCGCGGAGTCTCGAGGCGGTCTTCAGCGGACGGCCTGATACGCTCCTTAAAGCAAAAGTAGAAAAGAAGGTTGGAAACAACACAGCTAATTCACTAACATACCACGCTGATCTGCTCCAATCCCGGCAACAAATCACGGTTAGCAAACTGTGTGGCCATCAGATGGGCCAAATGGCGAATCTGACCCTAAACAAAAGAAATGTCAAAAAATAAGATAGGAATATCGTAAAGCTCAATTGGCTCGCTGCTGCATAGAAACGAACACAATTTAAGCAACTGCAGTCATGTCCACAGTTGTTGTCCATCACATGCCCCCTCACTCTGAAAGTTAAAGATGAACGCAGAAACGAACGTAACGATAACCGATCACCAGTCCGACCTTTTGCATGCACTGTTTATGCAAGGGGCTTAAAACGCACTTTGTTGAGCGGTTAATTCAACTTTCAGGATTCATACTGAAGTGGTATCAATGGATCCGTGGAAAACGTTGGCAGCAAGTCTACCCTCGATTTAGTCAGTAGCAGCTGATATCTGAATTCTGAACACTTACGCTTCGAGCTATTATTCCTCTATTTATGTAAAGACTGGTTCATAAATATCCTTTTCTTATGGCATATTACCGGATAAGCTGTAACGCGATACAGATTTATACCACAGGCAACATTTACATAAACCTAATTTTCAAG